TCACCTACATCTTGGATGCCCTGGGGGTAAGCAGATAAACATCAAATTTTTATTTTTGGGTGAACTATCCCTTTAACTACACAGAGCCGTTGTTCACTGACGAGCTGCGCAAAACCACGTTCATATTCGCGTGATTTTTTGCGCAGCTTGTCAGTGAACAACGGCTCTGTGTAGTTAATGCTGCTCAATGTGAAAGCACGCACGTGATGGAGATTTACCGCTGATTACAGAACCGGCTTTCTGACAAGATGCGCGTTAAATATCGCATGCGATTTATCGTGCAGCCCTAATCTGCACTGTATTTAACTGTGTAAATATTGTTTATTTTATATTAAATAATTACCTAGAAACCAACATTTGGTCCCCCAGTTAGATAGAATTACTTAATGTTTAAAATTCAGTAATAAAGTAGCTCATATTAGACACATCAAACTCCTTAAAATTTGTCAAATTTGGCCTATCCCATAACTGATTATGAATGAAAAATGGTTTGTTTTAAATGCATCAAACCTAATCCTAAAATTGTTAACTTGGCCTATCCTACTTAAGAGGTCTTAAAAAAAAAACTAGAAACCAGCATTTGGTCCCCAATTAGCCCGAATTACTTATTGGTCTGAAACTGTAATTCAGAAATCAACTGAACCTAAACAAAAAATAGCTAATTTTAAACATAAAAAGTAATTAGAATCATTGATTAAATATATTTACAAGAATGCTGGCAACCAAACAGTTAACGGTAGCCTTTGACTTCCATAGCATATTTTCCAATACTACCATTAACAACACTGGTTACCATTAACTGTTTGGTTACCAACGTTCTTGAAAATATCTTCTGTAGTGCTCAAATGAAGAAAGAAACTCATACAGGTTTGGAACAACAAAAAGGGTGAGTAAATAATTACATAATTTTCATTTTTGAGTCAACTATCCCCTTAGTTAAAATTTATTTTTAAATAATGAAATAACTAGAAACCAACATTTGGTGCCCAATTAGCTACTGGCTTTTGAATTTCGGTTTGAGACCAATAACGGAGTCTGAACCTCAGATGCTATCACAAACTGGATTTGGGGCGGAAATGATGGGGTCTGTAAATCCTAATCCACCCTAAGCATCAAACGAGGTTAAAATTAGTGGGTTGAAATCCTGCAAAGCTAGCTGTTTTTCCCCCCTTAATAACATGCAAAGTCATCAACAGCTTGTGTTGCACCACAGTCATCTTCAGTATGCCGAAGATTTTCATGACTCTCACAACACATGTTCCAGCATTCACACTCACACACACACACACACACACACACACACACACACACCAAGTAAAGCTAACGTCAGGCATCACACGCCATCTAATACATGATATTTGAGGCAAAACAGGCCAGAATTTAATCGCTTTCTCTTTCTATATCAGATATATATTGATAGAGGCGTTTCTCAGTACAGCGAATGGCTCTGTTTGACTTCTCCCTTCACTAACGTAAATATTTCCGTAACGTTACATGGTATAAAAGGTAACCAATGTATTGAGTCAAAATAACAGTTTACCTTCATAATTCACCACAATGCAATCATATTTAATCGTTTTTGGCAGTTTTGAATCATCTGACAGGCCGTGCCATTTGCCCGGTTATTTTAACGCAGTAACGTTAACACACACAATGCCTCAGAAAGCACGCGCACCACCATCATCATCTTCTTCGTCTTCTTCACTCACCCTCTTTCACGCCAGGCAGGTTGTTCTGATCAATACTGAAATCAGCCATGTCGTCGTCGGCGCGTAATGTTTCTCTGGGGTTTCGGAAGGTTATTGTTTGACAGACGGATGGCGGTTTCCGTCAGATAAATAAATAAATCCCGATCGATGTCTTCGCTAATGTGTCGCTCTGATTGGTTTCTGTCGCCAGCCGAGGTTTCTGTCCGTCCCTCCCTCTGAACCCTCAGCAGATGAATATTGTGAGCTCTCACACACACACACACACACACACAAACCACGAAGAAAAGCTGAGCAGTGTGTGTGTGTTTGCTACGGATGGCAGGGCGGGACATGCCACGCGCGCACGCGCTCACATTCTGGCACGCGAGCAAACAAATGAACAAACACAGCCAGTGAACCTGCGCAGTCCTCAAAATCCTTCAGAAGTAGGCTACCTGAATGTTTTGTAAACCTTGTTATTGTCGTTATTTATGTTTAAAATTCAGGCCAATATAAACACTCTGATATTGAATTTATTACTTTAAATTACTCTTGCTTTTGGAAAATGCAGCTACTTAGCTACTCTGATGTCAGGCTTCCACGATTTTAAATTTATTACAATGATGTATGGCCTAACTATAATGTAAAATGCAAATATGTTACTATAAAATGTTATTATGAAATATTAAAAATAAAAACATATTTTACAGTAAATATAGAGTAACCAAGAGCATATTAATTGATGAATTATTATTATTATTATTATTATTATGTCATTGATGTTGTGGAAATTGTAAGAAAGATTAAAAGGTGAAATACCCCATAAAAAAATCTGATAAATGATAATTATACAATGTATTTGAATTATTTATTATCATTCTAATTAATTCATTTATTCATGCATTATAGGGTTTTTTTTTATTTGAGTTTCTATCAAATGGAAAATACTTTACTTCCAAAGTTTTCCTTTACAAAAACATCATTATAACACCAAAAACATTTTATGATGAATATAGAGTACAATATTTTATAAAATATTATTTTTGTTTTTAAGAAATTTTGCATCAACTATTTAATGATTGATAGAAACTGAAAAAAAAATAGAAAAAAGCTGAATATCTAACACATATAAAATAAAATGAACTTAACTTAAATATTAACTAAACTTAAATATTGTTTTAAGAATGATATGGATCTGAATTTTTTCAAGTTTTAATGCTATTAGAGTTTGTATCGGATGGACAATGCCTATACCTTACTTTCAAAGTTTAAATAATAAAAGAAAATCATATATATATATATATATGTGTGTGTGTGTGTGTCAAACAATTAATCGCATCCAAAATAAAAGTTTTTGTTTACATAATATATGTGCGTGTACTGTGTATATTTATTATGTATATATATAAATACACATACATGCATGTATGTTATGTTTATATATCAAAGATATTTATATATAATATAAATTATATAAATATATACATAACCTAAATACGTAAATATTTTCAAAATATATATTGTATGTGTGTGTATTTGTACATACATACATAATTAATAATAGGCTATTTGTAGAGTAACTCAGTATACTAAGTTAAAAATAATATGAAATATGACTTATCATTATTTTAAATATTAATATAGATTTAATAAATTAAATTTTAATATAGAAAATAAAAAACCCACAAAAAATAAATATTTAGACACAATACGTTTGTTAATTATAGATATGGATCTCAATGTTTATAGGTCTTCATCCAACTAGAGTTTCTATAAGATGTAAAAGCCGCCAGAATGGCATTATATTGTACATATGACATCCATCATCATACTGTTTCTTGTTATTCTAGGCACTGACTCACATATACTTTTAGTTAAATTAAAAGAAGAATGCCAGGAACATTTTGCCATCCCCAGATGAATGATCCCCAGTATTGCCAGTGATTTACTCTTGTCCTAACATACACCGCCGCTGATTGATTGCCCGTCGCTGGCCCTGAGACCACGTCAGAACATCAGTCCCAGCTGTCACGGACCCTCTTTTAGAGACAGAACGTACACCGTCACACTTTTGATTTATAGCGATGACACATCCTCGCGTCTTCACGCCTGATTAAAAGTGTCCCATCTGATGAGCCTCCAGCAGAAGCGCCTTTGGTCAGGCAGGAGCAAACACGCACCAGGATCATTCCCTCAGTGCCATGGACAGACTATCCTCAGGAAGTCTTCTTCCACGACTTGCCTTTTTACTTCTGATTGGTGCTCTAAACATTCATACAAGAAGCCTTGCAAGTCCAGGTGAGTACAGGCCACTCATTTGATCTAAATGACTGGTTTTTGATCATAGATTTCATTTAAATCAGTCTCATTTTATCTTAATTGTGTGCTTCCAATTGTGTGTTTCCATTTTTACAGTCAACCAGGTTTTCCATTCAAAGGATGATTCAGATGTGCAGAACCAGATTTTGGCATTTCTGCTACGGAAAAACATCATGCCTGTGCAAGAAAAGGATGTAATAGGTAAATAAATGCATTTGATTTATGTGTTGCACAGATTGTCTTACTCTTAGCAAATGTATAATGAATAAGCATCTTATAATCCACAAACCTGCACTTCTTCCTGAATCTCAGGACTCGAGCTGGCCAGAAAAATCGCAGAGCTGCAGGAGGTATGTTTCATTTTGGCCATGTGCATTTAATGGGAAAAAAGTTTATTTGTCATTAAATACAATTAAATATAAGTTTTTTTATTAAATTTAAAAAATGCAAAATATATGAATATACAAATATATAAATAAAAATAAACCAACTATTATTATGAAAGCTAATTGTCAGCTTGCTGTTTCAGCTTGCGGCCCTTCAAGAGGAGCTAAATGTAGAAAGAAAATTGGTGTCAAACGCAATAGAAAAAGAGAGATCGATGACCAGCAAAAGAGATGATGGTGAGTGTTACTTTTTTATGAACAGATATGTTTGTCAACTGCAGAAATGCAGATGTAAAAATTTTTCCCATTTTCTTTTTAGCCTGTTTCTGGAAATACTGTGTTTGAGGATGTTAAAGTGAAGAACCAGGAGCAAGAAAATCTGCAAAATCATCTAATGCCTTAAGATGTGTCAAAACGAGCAGAACGGTTTCAGATATGGAATTATATGTATTCATAATGTGTCATGATAATCATGATAGTTATAATGTACTCATGACTTTACTCTTATAACAAAAATGTATTTTATGTAAATGTCATCTCAATAAAACATCAAGTGAAACTTATTGATTTTACTCTATCATCTCATTGTGCAAAATATTCCCTATTTTTTTTAAGGATCTTGAGTGCATAATTAAATATATGAATGCACAATTTTACTATAATAATTTCAAAATAATTTTATATAGGCTAAAACTTGTCATCTGCCTTGATTTATAAAGATTGGCTTTTCAAGAGCTCTTGTCTCCCTCTAGTGTTAAGACTTTGTTGAACATTATAAATGTCACGCATACCAAAAGAATATATTAACCAAAGACCTGACGGTAGACTGATTGGTTACCAACATTCTTCAAAATTCTTCTGTGTTCAGCAGAAGAAGGAAACACATATAGGTTTGGAACAACTTGAGGAACAAAAACGATGACAGAATTTTCATTTTTGGGTGAACTGTCCCTTTAAGGACACATATGAACATATGAAGACAGAGGATTATGGACATAAAATTATGCACAAAAAAAAAAAAAAGGAATTGGAGACACTTTTTAGTGAAAGAAATTGCACATTGTCCAAACAAAAATAAGGAACATGTATTGTTATTTTATTTTAATACTGCCTTTTTCAATCAATCAATAATTAGGGATAGCTCCTAATGTCCCACTCTGCATTATTGAACATTCAGTAATTATTATAATTTTTTTTTAAAGAGAGATATTGCAAGTTGGAAGACAATGACTTCTACAAGTACACACAATAAAGACCAAAAAAAAAAAACTCATCACAACGGATGCAGGCTTCACTGCAGAGTATGATAAGTGTCGAAAGGGAAGAGCTATTTCCAAAGCGTGGTTATTAAAAGCATAATGCATCCATTTTAGCCAGACATTCTTCAGTATCTGTGAGAGGTAAGTTTAACATTGCTACTTCATTTATTTGTTTTAGTAACTTATCCCTAACTTGTTTTAGGAATAGTTTACCCAGAAATGAAAATTCTGTCTAAATTCTAAAGTTCCCAGAAATGTACTCACTTTTATTGTCAATCCAAACCTCCATGACATACTCTCTTCTGTGGAACATAAAAGAATATATTTTAGAAACTGTGTCCACTTCTGTCCATATAATTAAAGTCAACTGGGTCCAATGTTGTTTTGGAGCCAGTGGACAAATATGGACATAATTTGGTCCACTGAGTCCAATGTTGTTTTGAACTCAATGAACAAAAAACCGAAGAAGGTCATACAAGTTTGGAACAATATGAGAGGGAGTAACCATTTTTGGGCAAACTATCCCTTTAAAACGTAGTCTTTTTTTTTTTTTAAATCATATCTTTTTTATTGTACATGGGGCAATTTATTTTCCAAAAAAAAAAAAAACAACTATTACTGACCCCACACTTCTGAACAGCAGGGGCGGATTTAGTGATTTGGGGGCCCCAGGCAAAATACAGGAATGGGGCCCTATA